TTATTTCTTTCCCCTCCTTCATGTGTGTATGTGTACATGTTTGTACCATACATGTACGATAAAATATTATTGGAAATTTATAGTTTCTGTATGTGCAGATTTGTATGTGCAGTTTCCGCAGCGTGGCGAGCATTGAGTCAAGAAAAATAGTGATGGTAACGCGTACTGTTTACTAATTGATTAATGTAAAATATTAAATTAATGTTAAATGATTATCAAATGAATATTTTTTTAACGAAATAAATATTTTCTTTAAATTATTATTTCAAATAAATAATAGATGGAAAATAAATATATTTAATGAATATAATTATTAAATGTCATTCTTATGATAAATCAAAGTAAAAAAAAATATATTTATAAACATTTAAAAAATGTTATCTGCTAATTTGGAAAAAACGTAGGACTTATTCTCTAAATTTCTTTGAGTGAAATATCTCACTCTTAAGAAAGTAAAAATACGACTATTTTTGGAGAAGAATGAAAATATTTCACTTCTTGAAAAAAAGGTGACAATTTTCACTCTTCGAATGAAATTTCACTCCAAAGTGAAATCTCATCCCAAAAAAGAAATAAAATTAAGTCACTTCTTTTGTTTCTCATATGATGTTTCTCATACTCATACGCACGCACGTATCCGCACGCATGCACGCACGTACGCAATTTGCAAATATATTTGCAAGCCGTTGAATAAAGTTGGAATTCTTCTAATTGTAAACAAACTACATTTAATTTAAAGTTGTAAAGAAAATTTAAATGAATAAAAACGAATCAACCTGTAGAGGCCCTCCATAACCCCCGCCAATTTTTAACAGCGGTCCTCTTTTTCTCAGCAAACACTTAAGTTACATGAAACAATTAATATAATTGTAATATAACACACGTATTATATTATAGTTATATTCTTGCATGGCAAATTACAGTTAAGAGGTACGTGTGTAACTTGAGGTTTGTTGGATTTGAATGTTTTTATGTATTAATTACATATATATAGAACATAAAGGAAGATATTATAATATACAAAATAATCAGTCACAATACAATATAATAAAGTATAATACAACATAAAGAGAGAATATAAATAGATATTTTTAATATAAAATAAATTGCTTATATACATTTTTACATTTTCGCTTATACATTTTGCTTATAGTATAAGATATCTCGTATACAAAATGCATGCCTATCACAACACAAAATTCGCGTATAATTCAAGAAAATCCGAATTCCGACTTTACCATAAAAATCTTTACATTTTTATTTAACACATCTTTTAATAATACAATGTCTTTTTTAATGGATCCTCTTGAATAAAAATTTTAATTTTACATCTTAATATACACAGAGAGAAACCTAAGAAGGGACATGACGGTCCAAAAGTCCCAAAACTTGTTACCGCAAAATGCTGCGCCGCGCACTATTGCCCTCTGACAAAGTGGATGTAAATTACATAGCAACGTCTACGTTTCTTAGGATACATCGTCCACTTTTCAAGACTGGAGATAGTAAATTGATATTTGGTTCATATATATAATTGTGCTACATGCAGGGTTGGGCATTTTAGAGCTGCGAATAGTTTCTTACGTATAATACGTATGTATAACACGTATGCATAATACGTATAAAATGTGTAAAACGTACGTATAATATGTATAACATACGGTATAAAAACCATGTGCCCAACCCTGGCTACATGTAGCGTGACCGCGCGTCGAGTACCTTATGCTGGATTCACACTGCATCCGATTTGCGTCGTACGACGCTCTGTAACCACAATCAGAAAACAGGATTCCGATGGATTTTGCTTCGCATCATCGGAATTCTGTTTTCTGATTGGTTGAAGAGCATCGTACAACGCAAATCGGATGCAGTGTGAATCCAGCATTAGGGTATAGCGGGGAGCACAGATTCTTGCATAATGCATAACACATGAGGCATAAGAAATTGAACCAATCAGAGTCCTTTATTTCATAGAAAGGAAGGAAATGAAGGACTTCGATTGGCACATTTTTTTATGCATTACGTGTTATACGTTATGCAAGAGCCTGTGCTCCCCGCTTATATATACACAACTTGCATAGCCGCATAAACGTATGCATAAAGAAAATTATCCAATCACATTTTACGTGCGATTTTATAAGAGATGCGATTGGATAATTTTCTTTATGCATATTTTTATACGGCTATGCAAGTTTGTGTTGATATACGCTGACCGATCATCAGTTTCTTTTTTCAGAAGACCGAGGAATCTTCCAAGTTACGAAAGAAAACAAGATACCCGGTGATTAGATAACACTATCATAAACCGAATATATATAGTTCAACGCACAATTTTTAACAACATCATTCCTAGCTATTCTTTCGCTGTGTGCTAGTATACTGATTTTCAAGATGAATCGAAACGTGGAACCTCTGGATCCATCCAAAATAAACATCACATCGAGAATATTGCATCAACCGCCTCTCGACGAGCTAATAAATGGTAATAATAAAGCGTTCTGAACTCACAATAAGAAATCACAGCTGGTAATAATTATATAATATTTTTATTATAAAAAAATCATAGTCCTAACAGAAGGATTGACTGGAAATTTTGCGGAAGCTACTGTCGAGATGGCTGATTGTCCTAATTTTAATGGATGGCCTTACAATTTTTATCGAGAAGGTATGAGAAAAACAATAGGTATAAGATACACTTGGTCTTTCTCTAAATCTCATATTTTTGCTATTCATTCAGGTTTGTGTGGTAATCCCATTCTTTTGGAAGTTGGTGGTCCAGCATATCTTCTACCAACTGTCCAGACAGATAAATTCTATGATGTTAAGTCGTTGCTGCGACAGATAAATTACAATTATGATACTCTTGTCATTGGCGCAGGAGCTGGACCTTGGCCACATACAGGTTGCAATTGTGAGGTGTGTATTAATAATTAAATTATCTTGATGGAATTAATAATCTGCTCTAATTTAAAAGAAAGAGAAAATAAATATTTATACAATATTTATTTCAGCTTATTATGAAGTTGAACGTAGTAAACGACAAAGTCTCGGCAGGGTATAGACTTGGCATGGGAGTGGCGAATGGAACGCATTATGCATTTGTGAATAAGTCTAATGGAGAGTGCATACTTGAACGGATAGTTGCTAATGAGGATGAAACTACTTTTGCATTGTTGGCTAATCTGTATGTGTGCGAAGGCAAACCAGGGAAAGTTATAAAGGTGCGCGCTAAAAAACGTACGGGCAACCTGGACTTCATATCGTGTATGCAGAAAGCATTGGCAAAACATTATGAGGATAAGCTCGTAGGTAAATCTATCACAAACTATTATATATAATAAAGTTAAACAATTCACTACTCGGCTGATTGTCGAATATCTGTAAACTTAGGTTTAGGTGGCATGTTCGAAGTAAGGAATGGAAAAGTAAAGCAGCATATTATGCCAGCCTTTTCGGATACTCCTTTGACTAGCGAGAGCCAGCTTAATAACTGGTTACGTTTCTACGATATGAAGACTCCTCTGATAGCTGTTGGCACATTTGTTAGCGCCGAAACAGTAAGCTTTAGAGACATTCAATACGTATGATAAGAAAAGATTATCTTTAAACTTTGAAAGCAACAGTCTATAAATTTATGTTAAACCATTATTCATTTGTTTTATTGTGAATTGAAATATTCATTGCTTCTGTCTTTCAGGATTTAGATCTCAGGGTCCAGCATTTTCATAGTGCTTTTGATGAGAACAGATTGGGTGGACATTATCATATTGATACAACACCGGATACGATCGAGTATGAAGGCTACTTTAATGTGGCAGCTACGCTTTATCGCGTCGATCAACCGCCCAATAAATTACAGTTTGGGAAAGATTAACCTTGTATATATTGTTACATGTATATGTATATTGTTACAGCAAGTTGGATTTTATGAAATAACTTTTATACTATTGAAATGCCGCGAACAACAAAAGAAAATATGTTGATAATATATTTTGTTAGAATTTATACAAATTTATATTTTAACATTCCTCTTTATGATTAAAAAATAAACATAAAAATAAATATAATTTTAATAAATAAATATGTAGTTAATCTTTTTCCTTGTAAAATTGATTCGTAACTCGTGGATAAATTATTTACGTATAAACTATAAAGAAATATATTATAATGAAATTGTCTTCCTTCAATTTTGATAAATGTTGAAAATTTAATTTATATTTTTATAGTACAAAATGGCATTCTAATCTATGTGTAATAAATTGATTTTAACAACAAATAAAGTAAATGTTCATAGAAAATAAGACAAAATTAATCATGTCGACTCCTTAGCAAATCGATCTTTATAGCAGATTGCAATTGAATAAAATTCACGATGCCTTCTGTTTAGATATTACTCTCTCTCTTGTACAACTAATTCTCTATTTATGCACATAAAACAAATCTAATATAAAATTTCATTTAATTCGACAAATTTAAAATTAATTTAAGATCTCTCAAAATTGTTCTGAATCTCACAATATTATTGTTCTGAAATATTATTATTAATGTTGACCGATGACTGTTATAGTCTTATATTTTTGTTTTGCCTTTTTCTGTCATGTTTCGATGAAAGATTGCGGTTTATCAAAGTGCTTTATGTGTCTGCGGTTTAAAAAAAACCACTTCATTATCTATATTAATATCATAATCAGAACCTAAGCAGGTTATAATTATATCATTCGTATCGCAATATATTTGTTTAGTGAGAGTTAATTGCACTATATATATATAAATTGATAAGTGATGTATTAAGTATTTAACATGTGACTCATTTCTTTCGTCGCGCGTATTAGAATATACACGAAATATACTTTAATAAACTATATATATATGCAGTATGACTATTTTTCTGAACAATACTGATAGAATTAAAAACACGATTACAATTGGTTCACTTCAATATTTCGATTACCAGTATACATACAAATTTTCTATTTTATATAAATTATAGGTTGTATATTATGGTGGAGCTAATTATACCAATAGATTTGTATGTACCTGAAAAAACTGAACTAGCTATAGGTATACACATAATATAATCGTAGATTATTGATGTAGATTATATATGAAGAGCATGATATCATGTAATGTTTATTTCCTGCATTTTTTTGTTATTTGTACTTCAATAAAATTATTATATATTTTTTTATGATAATAGTTTTGCAGAATGAGTTGAGTACAGATTTTGAAGAAGTTACAGTCGAATGGGTGGATTGTCCTGATTTGACTCAGGAACCTTTCAATCTCGCAGCACCAGGTGAGAGATTTATTGTGTGTCTATAAAGATGCACCTAAATTATCGAGCATAACTTCGAATCTCAATTGTAAGCTGAATATATGTCCATGGTATAAAGGAATCGAACTACTGAAGTCGTTCAGCTCTTTTGAAGAATTTCGGCTCAATAATCTGCATATTGCACATTTATATTTCCCGTAAGATAAAATATAATGTATGTATATCTATAGGATTATGCGGCGATATAGCACTTTTAGATATCGGTGGTATCTCGAATCTTTTTCCATTTCCGATAAAAAACAGAAATATTTATTTCAAAAATATCTTACAAGAACTTGATCGTACCCAAAGTGATAACTTGATTATCGGAGGAGGTCTTTGTACACGGAAACATTTATTGCACGAGGTATGTATTGCTTATATTTACATGAAACATTAAATACATTTAATTTCTGTGTTTTCTTTAATTTATATCTTAGCTTTATTTTCATCAAATTAGTGTTATCTTCAATTTTGTTTCTACTTTAAACCTGTTATTTGATTTTGTCGTTTTATAGTCATTTCTCACGAACATTATTTTATAGCTGATTATGAACGCTTCATTCTCACCAGCAGCAGAAGGAAAGATGACAGTTAATAATAAAAGTTGCTTCGCAGCAACATCAGGAATATTAAAAAAACATTTTGTATTATCGAAATCCTTAGCTAACACTAATCCTTATTGCAATATATACGGGAACTTCTTCGTCAGCAAAGGTCTGCGAGAACAAGTTCTGAAAGTACATGCTAAGCATCGCACCGGTCGTGACTTTATAGTTGCATTGCAGCACGCAATTAAACGATTTTCAAAATGTTCACAACTCATGGGTAAGAAGTAAACTATTCATGTACATATATATATATATATATATATAAAGAAATATTATGTAAGACTATGCTCCTTTATATTTAATTAGCTTTGAGACAATGGGTCTGTTTTTTGTGGCTGAACTAGTGTACACTTTTTGAACTTAAAGTGAGAAAAATATACGTTTGATATTTGTTTAAAGCGAGAAAGAGAGTTCTAGAACAATCTAGTGCAGGAACAGAAAACAGACCATATATATGTTGTTGGATAGCTGAAATTAAAAAGCATGTAATTTTTTACTTCGACAAATGAGTTTTAAAAAATCTAAATGTATAACTATACATGAAATGCTATGACATCTCTGTCTAAATTTATCCATGTATTTCACAGTTCTGACATAGTAGTCGCTAAGAAAGTAAGAAGATACCAGCTACGAGAAATTATTTCAATATCTAGTTGTGCTAAAAGAATGCTTATAAAATCGTGTCTCTTATTGTATTTATTTTATACGTGTCTCTTGTTTTTGTATCCAAAGTTTATAAAAAAAGGAAGAGAACATATAATTATATCCATTCTTTTCCATTCATTACCAGAAGAAATTCACAGAGATATTATTAATTAAGCTTGTCGTTAAATAAAAGCAAATGAATTTTTTGGTCTTACAGGTTTCGGCGGTACATTCATAATAAAAAACGGGAAAACGATACATCATGTCATACAAAATGATTGGAAAGTTCCGATAAAAATGAAAAAACGAATTCATAAGTGCATTAAATATTGGAAAATTCAAGATTCACCTGTGGTGGCATTTGCCACGTTTGTTAGCGCAGACAGGCACAAAGTAATGTCACCCAAGGAAGTAATATTGATGTCTATAATCTTCAAAACAGATATATATCGTGAATTATTCATAAACTTGATACTTTCCAGAATATTTATCTTAATCGATGGCACGTCCATGCTAATTCTAACGACGGCGGCGGGTATTACCATGAAACTGAACCGAATAATAGTAATACGGAGTATTTAGGATATTTTTCTCCAGCAACGAAGCTCTATCGTATTAATCCCGTACCTATATTTCGTGAAATGATAAACTTTACTTGTTTAAGAAATCATTAACAAGAACATTGACAGTTAATGACATTAGACCATTTGCTTTATCATGTTTTAAAAAGTTTTAATATCAATGATGAGTAGAGCCCGGATTAAAGTTTTGAGAATCACCGACGTCGGACGTGGCTTTGGGCGAGTGCATGGTGGAAGGGATAGCATGGTGTGCACAGTTTGCAACCTTCCTTCTCTGAATTTTCGACCTCTCTATCTATGAATGTCGATAAAAGTCAATGCTTCTTTCCTTGTTTGACACACATCATAATGTATCTTCTAGATTCTCTTTCTATAGAAACAGAAACATAAAGTGTGTTACAAGGAAAATTCAGTACCAATTTCACGAAACGAAACAGGTCGGTATTCATAATCGATTCTTGCTTTTAAGGCCGCGGTCCGATTCACGCTCACAACGCTTAAAAATCATTTCATCCTTGTTGTTTGTCAAATGTTAAACGAAGACAAACGATGCTCATGAGCGTTGCCAGCATGAATTGGACCACGGCCTAAGACTATCTTAAGTACAATTTTAAGGTGCCATAAGTCAATCCAAGAACTGTATTAGCATCTTAAGACATTATTTAAAACAGTTTTAAAATAAAAACTGAATGATTATGAATATCGTCCCATGTTTAGCGTTTCACAGGAGATTCAGAGAAGGAAGGTTGCAAACTGTGCACACTATGTTATTCTTCCACCATGGGCGAGTGGCAGTGGGGAGAATCATGAGGAACGCACTACGGTCGATTCGAATCGATACGACAGATAATCCGGGCTCTAATGACGAATTTTCTAGGATATACTGGAACAATTGTTCTGTATATATGACATTACTGTAGTTACGACATTTTTGCTATAATTTTATCATTTTTAAATTTCTCTTTTTTTATATCTTGGATTATATTTCTCGTATTTTCCATGTTTTTTTCAAATTTTTGTTTTTACTAATTCATCTCTGTTATAATTAATCTACATTTGTACATTGTGTGTGAATAAAAGATGTAAGATGTTTATTTAAATAAACCATTTTTTTTTTCATTTAGAATTCTCTTATATTTCTCTCTAATAAAGAAATATATTATCTTCATCTAAAAATGAAAATGTGGACAGACAAGTATAGTATTTGGGACATCTATTAGATATATATTAGATATATCTAAGTTACCTTGATCTCGTACTTATGTTCTATAAGCTCGCAAATTTTTCTTTTTTTAAAAATCATTTTTTATAAAATCATTAATACCCAGTGAGAAATGACAATGGAATCGACGTCGAATCGATGTCGATTCGACATCGAAATCATCGAATTGACGTCAAATCGACGTCGATTTCATTGTCATTTCTCACTGGGTAGGCCCTCCAGCATTTCACTCTATTACATTATTCAACAAAAAATGCATATATATAAGAATGAAGATGAGAATAAAGATCGTTTCCCATAGTTTCTTCTGTGCTGGGTATATTTCCGTTTATCCAATTGTTCTATAACGTCACAGTTTAAAAAAAAATTTTTTATTATTTTTTATATTTAAATTAAATTATTTTTTCATTACTTTTATATTTATATTTAATTATTCTTTAAAAGATATTATTTACATATATTTAACATGTCTATTAGAAATATCTTAAAAATATCTTCTATGATGGTTATATATATATATATTAATATCTTTTAGAATTATTTTGAAGATATAATATACAACTTCGCAACAAAATATTTCTGAGCATTTTCTGGATATTTTTCGGATATGTATCTTTTAGAAAAGTCTTGAAGATCTTTTAAAACTTTTTAAAACCTTAATATTTTTTAGATCTCTATCGTGATTAATTTACATCTTTACACTAATAAAAGACAAAAGTTTAATTGTTATTTATAGAACAAACTAATTTTAATCATAAATAAAACAAATGTTAATCAGCAACAAAACACGTTTATCGGTAACATATCTAAAAAATTCGTGTTTAATTTGATTACTTTGGAAAATTGCAATCGAATAAAGATCACGATGACTTCGATCAAATGTATACCTATATATCCCGGTCTCAATTGGATAATCACGTTCGCAACTCTCTTCTGTATGTTCCAAAAAACAATCTCTTTATTCTTTTATCAATGTGTATTCTTTTATCGGTAAGTCTCATCCTCACGGTCGTCGCTCCACTCATCCGAATCTTCCTTAACGTCATTAATCCGCAATAATCCGTTGGTCATTTAAGTTATGCTAATTGCGGACAGAGTCGCAGATGTGTCAACGGGTGGACGATGATAGTAATGCTTGAACTACGCAGTGCCAGTCTCCGTGTATTCTTGCTTCAGTAGTTTCAGTATACATACCGCGATGAAGTTCAGCATAGAGTCCACAGCTTCCTACAACAGCATCCACCCAGCCTATCACTACACTGAGCAGTTCGCCAACAATGGCGAAACCTATCGGGACGGCACCAAATGGTACGGGGTGTTCCTGGCGTTTATATCAGGCACTTTCTTCACCATCAGTTCCGCCTTAGTCAAAGCGATTCGCAACGTAGACCCCATGATTTTACTGGCCATTCGCGCCCTGATGCAGATCCTGACAATGGCTGTCGTGGCTTGCAGATCGTCCAGCAATCTTTTCGGCCCTTCTGGCCAAAGAATACTCATACATTTTCAGGTAAAGTTTGCTCGTCCGAACACGGACTGTATTAGGCCTGTTCTTTTTGGCTGAACTTTGGCACCAGTTCATCTTTCTTCCCCTTTTTTCCTCCTGGAGAGAAAAGGAAGAGAGATGAACTGGAGCAAAAGTTCAACCAAAAAGAACAGGCTTAATACAGTCTCTGGATTTATTAAAATGTCTGGATCTGCAAAAGTTTTTAATTTTGTAACATAATTGGTATTACTTCCTAATCTACTTTCATGAGAGAAATGTCGGTCATTACAAAACTAGTCACTCTGTTCTTATCTGATTACGCATGTAAATGATTATGAGCTTATCTGCAGGCGTCCACAGCTTTTCTACGACGTGTATCATATTAATTGCAAGCCGGAAAGTCGGCGACGAATATTATTCATTTGCAATATCTGTGTTCACATGCATTAGCAAAACTAAATCCTTCAGAAAAATTAAGGGATATAAAAACAAAGCTCACATTCTTATGAACTATTTTAACGTGCTATTATCATCAATACACTAATCATTTAAAGAGAAACATTTTTTAGAATGAAACTCTGTTTTTTATACGATCGCTAAGCCACTATACTGATTTACATTTTTTTTCTTTTTTCCAGGGCCTAGTAGGCGGTATGACCCTGTCGTTGCTATATTATAGCTTTCGAGAATTACCTTTAGGTGATGCTACCACGATTATATTCAGCTCACCGGTGATCGTCATCGCGTTATCTTTCCTCTTCCTAAAAGAACCCTGCGGTGTTCTGCGCATACTGGTAGTCTGCACGCTCTTGACAGGCGTTATCCTCGTTGCCAGACCACCTTTTTTATTTCAGGTAATCTAATTTTTATCACTGAATATAAACTTAATTTGATAAGGACGAGCTCAATAGACAAAGCTGCGTAAATTTCATTCACTGTGTAGAGCGATATTAATAATTGAAAATTATTAATATCTAATCTAAAATGTCATTCAGATTACAAAGAATTCATACAAAGGGCTAAACAAAATTATATAAATATACGAATTCTTTGTTTTTACATTAAAGAAATGCTCTTGTTCTTTTATTATTAAATTTAAATTAAATTCAAGTAATGATTTCGAAAAAACGCTCATCATAGTCTTCGTTTTCCAACCCTCAAGAATAATTTTTCTCTTCCAGATGCATCGTACCGAGAGCTATAATCTTATGGGATATTTGTGCGCTATTCTGGCCACTCTCTTCACGGCGCTCAACATCGTCGTCATGAGAAAGTGCTCGGAGATACATTACTCCATCCTGGTGTTAAACCTATCGTGTTGGTCGTTCGCCTCTGCCGTGTTCTTTTACTTCACGGTGTCCGGACACGGTATCGGTCATGAGCTCCACAAGTTTCGATTACCACACGATTGGTTCACTTGGGGCCAGATCCTACTGGTGGCGTTAACTGGCCTTACCGGTCAGGTGTTGGTCACAAAGGCGCTTAAGATTGAGAGCGCGGGTAAGGTATCGGTCACCAGATCACTGGATATCATCCTGGCCTATCTGATCCAGGTTTACCTGTTCGGCGAGAAGCCCACGTCGACCAGTCTAACTGGTGCGATCCTCATCATCTCCTCCGTTGTCTGCATGGGTTTCGAGAAGGAGATTTACGCGGTCTGCGATTTCATTCCTTAGCCAATGAAACAATCATTCGGGCAATCGAATTTCGCAATAAATGCAAGCGAGAATTGCTAATTTAATTTGTAATTTTAAAAAAATCAGACTAGTAAAAATATTAAAACGTTAAATATCAATAAATTTTCAATAATAGTATTAGGATCAATGAACTTAACTGTTCGATTTCTTATTAAAACAAGTTCCTGGTATCACACATTGAAGAGGTGCCGATTAATAAGTAGAATTCGATTATAAATGATTTTTTTTGTTCTTTTTGTGTCTCTTCTTAATATTTCTTAAAATGACATAAAATAAACATCAATCATCTAGATTATCTAAAATATTGATGTGTCGATAATAATAAAAGTAAATATATAAGTCATAGTAACAGTAACGATGATACCAATAATAATAATAGTAAAGATATATAATCAATTTCACGAATTTATGCGTGCAAATATATACATAGGTGATAATTGGACAGCAAGAGAAATGCACGTGTATAACTCGTTTATATATGTATGTATAATATCTATCGATGATTTATTCAATGGGAAAAAAAGGTACAACTACATTAACAGAGTAAATCGCTATATCTCATATATATACATATAAATGTATATATATATGTATATATATGTATATCGAAGGTAATATAATTATTTACATTGGATATTTTTTCATCTACTATAGTCCCTGACAAAAGCGCGTGGTTGCGCACCAGTCCTATTAATGTCGCTGGATAATGGATCTACCTCTTTTTGCTTTTGACAGTGTGCTTATAAATCTATATATAATATATATAACATATATATATATACTTCAGGATTTAGTTTACACTTTTCGAACGGTAAATATAACATAAGACATATACATCTTTCTTTCTTATATACGCACACACTTTCTCTTCCTCTCTCGCACATAAACACTTTGCTACCATCTTTTTCCTTCTTTCGAACTATGTGAAATCTTCATCATACAATATTTTGTTATACCCTATGACTAATCTTATTCTACGTTTTGCCTTATAATTAAAGAGAAGTTGCACAATTACTTACATTATGTACGAGTGGCTTCTCGAGCTTGAAAAAGGTATGTGTGTACATATATACTTCACATATATAACGTTACTTCATTTCGCTTCGCTCTACTCTGCCCTTTCTCGCTTCAACCTACATTTTTCTCTTCGTTTTACTTGCATCGCCTACAGCCGATACACATCTTAGTCTCTTGATGTAATCGCATTTGTGCCTAATCGCCTTGCGATACATATATCGATCAATTTATTTGGATAAACATCCGATCGAGGGTACATCCATAGCAATGTGACACAGGAATGTAATCACATACGGTAGGAGTTTTTTCGCACAGAAGGGCGAAAATCGTACGATTTATTCGTGCAACTCTCGCATTAACACGCTTCCTGTGTATACGTGTATGTGTGTAAATATATGTATATATTTACATATATATTTTTCCGATATTTTTTGTATTTTACATTGGTCATATGATTTTCGTCCCTAAAGCGTAATTCTTGCAACTGTACAAGTGAAGGGCACCTCGAGCTATGGCGTTTTTTCGTTATGCAACCAGAAGTAACCACGACTAACGTTATTTTCGTCTTCTGATCTCTGAAGACGAAGATAGCCTTAGCTTCTGGTTGGATAACGAAAAAACGACCTTATTATACTAACTGCCTCGCCTTTTTCCCTTGCACAGAGTGGCTGTTTCGCATCGTACACATATATATAAATCTATAGTATTGCTAAAAGGAAGTTGTGTTAACCTTGTCGTGCAGCGAGTATGCATGCGATAGAAAATGCTACGAACAAATAAGCGCCTCTCGAAAGAGATCGTAAAGATTGGATAAAATCGCGCCGATTATATTAGTCTTTTTACCACCGACTTCTTCAGTGATTTCTTTAATGATTTATTCAACGCTCATCACAGATTTTAGGACTTATTCGATTAAAAAAAGATTAAAAAATAGAAAAGAAAACGTCCTTAATAGACGATAAAATAGCAAAACTGATTTTGTAAATCCATTTTTCTTCTTTTCACTACAATTCGAAGCTTTCTTTTACCGATGCGGTCTCGTCCAATCTCACGATATTCAAGACTCCTTTCGCCAATATTTTCTTAACCAACAGAATCTCTCTCGTTCTCAAAATCTTATGTCCTTTCTTTCACTATTTTTTCCTTTCTCCTTCCCTCCTATAGAAATGAAGTTCTGGGTAGAGACTGCACGCCGCCGATTTTGTCACATCACAGCATTAAACAATAAAATATACATCTTACTGCGAAAAAACGCGCATTTCGAGAATGTGAAAATTTTTATCGTATTCAAAATACGTTTTGGTTACAAAAATAGGGCACGCGCTCGTTTCTTTTTTTTTTTGTCATTTTACCTTTTTTACTTTTCTCAATTTTTTGATTGCGTTAATCAACATCGTGGAGATATAAATACAGATGTCTAAAATACACGTATTAACGTCAAGCTAAGGAGGATACATTCAAGTGTTTCTTTCTTTTTTCTAAACATTCGGCAACAATTGTTCTACTACAGCATATTATACACAATGTGCGTTGCTCTCTCTCTCTCTCTCTCTGTCCCATTTTCTCGCTCCTCTCTGTATCACTCTATCAACGCTAGTTATCTGTATCGTGTGATATATAAAAATGAGATCATTTTCGATAACTAATACTTCAAATACACGATACAATAAAAAAAATCACTATCAGAATAATGTTATCCAAATAATTTTTTTTTTAATTAGAAAGACGACAGGAGTACTGAATCTAATCTCCATCTCGTCATAATTATCTCACAAAAAAAATTTAAATAAATCTGAAAAATAATCTCATACATCACAATTATGAATTAATTATGTAATTTTAGAATTGTGTAATTTTTTATATATAAACTGCCGAGTGTTTTCAATTAACGATCAATGACGTTAATTTATGTAACTTATACATGAAAAATATGCGAATATTTATACAATACATTGAGAAGTATACGGAGAAATATAAGTCTTTGAGAAGATTTAAAAAAGAAACACAAAATGTATATAAATCTCTCATAATATTATATCAATACATACTTCTTTTTAATGTATCTATTTTATAGAAACTTAAATGAGATCTCTTCCTTATGCGCTATATAATCGCTATATGTATGAAAAAAAGATGTGAATTAGATAAAACTCGTAACTCTCAGCCACATAATAGAAATAACAATAGTAATTTATTATACGTCGAATGTAAGTAATATATATATATATATAAACACACCATACACACACACACACAACATATATATATTCTTTTTTCTATATATGATACCAAAAGAGCCAACTTAAGAATATAACTAATATATGTACAAGAACATAATCATTAATTTTGTAAAATCTGACGTGCAGATCCAACAGAAATCCATTTTTACAGGACCGTTGGTGTGTCGCAGTGATTACTTAGTATTCGAGACAGTGTTTATATCATAATTGGTTCTCTCTCTTTCTGTTTGCTTGTAAAATTGTATGTATAACTATAATGTCGCATCTCAAATTGATTCCAGAGAGATGATTATGTGACCTCGCGAAACATACATACTAATAGCGAATTCGATTTGATGCACTAATGCGCACTAATGTATATTAAAATCGTTGTATACTGATTTTTTCTGAGTGTAAAAGTGCAAATATTTCGAATTATGAAATACATATTTTACCTAACAGTACAATAAAGTAAAGATTTCGCGGTTTAATCCGTTTCTATATCTATATTAATTAAATTTTTATATTACTTTTTTATATACATTTTTATATTAATCTGTATACGACAGCTTTAATGTGCAATCGAATTCGCTATAAATTATTACATAGAAATTGACATTCACACAAAAATACCCCACTACACGTGCAGTATTTTACAAATATTATGTGTACAGTTAATCTTTCTTTCTTGAAACTATCCAAGTCGTCTATGACGATTTTTATAATCATCATTAATTTGTCCAATGTTTTACGCATTCATATATAATCACTTAAAATTCGTATTGCATTCAATACTTGTTTCAATGCTTGTTTCGTTTTGACACAATAAATATCCTCTTTAAATTCCGCTTTTTTGTTTGAAAAAACAAAAAGCTGGATTAATAGAATAACAAACGTTTACAATAAAGATTTTACGTCACACAGATGTTAATCATATATTGATTGCAACTAACAAATACTAAAATAAAGATCGCATAGTAATTCAACACTTTACTCTTTGCCTTCGTTCGATCAATTCAGTAATCCAAAAGTAAAAAAATTCCATGGATTAAAAGCCATGGCACATAGAAAAACTTAAGATTCTAGTGAATCGACCAGTTAATTACAATACAAACCGTAAAATCATAAGTCTCAGTCAGCAATCTTGCTTTAAGAGGCCTTAAATCACAAGTCAAAAGAGATTAAGTGACAATAATTTCTGTCTTTAAACTGTCTTTAGGCTTTAACCGTTAGACTTAAGCGAATTGAGCAAAATCCAATTCTTACGACCTAAAAGCATAAGTTCCATGGTCGATATATCGTCACTTACAACTTACAGTTTACGGCCTCTTAAAGGTTGTGAACTTAGTAGAATGTAAGAAATAACGAATCCAACATGTTGATTTTCTTATTGTTTAGTCTTTCTATTGTTAAGTTTTTCTGTGTGTAATGCTTAAAATTAAATTATAATATTAAAAAAAGTAACATTAAAATATATAGCATCATTATGGAGTATAATCAGATCAAGATCTGATCAGTTTAAGATCTGTTTTCTCCATTTAATTTTCATAATGTTCATATTGTAACGAATACATAAAAAATTGTACCATGTTTATATGTACTTTGTATTTTCCTCTTCGATTCAGCATCCATCACAGTACTTCCTCGATAACTACAATTTTACCAATGTATTTTGGTTATGTTGGTTTTTTCTAGGTGGAGGCGCCAAAAAGATATAAAGGTCACATCAACTTTTCTAAATTAAATTGAATGATTTTTTTACACAATATGATTTCTTTAATTCTTCTGCATATAAAAGTATTAAGGTAGTAATATCAAAAAACCAATAGTTTACGAGATATTTTACACTTTATTTTGGCACATATTAACATAAAATGTTAAATAACTCGTAAACTATTAACTTTTTGATAATCGTATCTTAATATTTTTATGAACAGAATAATAAGATGAATCAGTTGATGGAAAAAAAAACACATAGTTACTTATTTAAAAAATCATTCATTTTGCATACATATTTTTTTAAAACAATATGTTTTCTTTACACTAACTGATCCATTTAAAAAAGTTGAGGTGACCTTCATATCTTTTCGGCACCTCCACCTAGAAAAAAACCAACATAATCAAAATACGTCCCCCTCGAAATCCTTCCACTTTCATTTGAAACATTTTTTTATATCATCAAAAATAAGCGAGATATTCAAGATTTAAGTGGACTACCCTGTATATTGTGATATCCGTCCTGTTATCAACACAATTTAGTTCGATTATTTATCCATATACA